ACAGAGTCCATCTCCGCAGATGGGCCATAACCTTGAAAAATAAAGAATAAATTCAGTTGAATTGAAAAAATGGCCTATTTTTGATTTCTAGTTAATTTCCTGACATTTTCTTCACATATCTATCAAAATGCGGCAATTATTTTACAGTGTAGGAAAGGGCCTACTCTACATTTATTTACGGTAGAATCCGACACTTCCGCAATTTGCTACGATCGCCACTAATTCGTAAAAATATGTGACTGGCAACTAGCTAATAATCAATTTCGTTGCATTGTCCTGTTATTTCTATTATCTCTTTACTAGGTCGGTTCTTGGATGCGTGACTCACATCCACAATCGGACAGTATGGCTGAGAAACGTTGGGTTACGGATGGCTACGCTTCTCCCGTGCTTTACGAATACGAAAACGAACGACAAATGATGAATAAAGTCCAAAAAATCAAGTGAAGTTCTATAGGAACACCTTAGTTTAAGCCTCTAAATATCCTTTTTACAGGTATTATGTGGACTATCTGGCTTCTGGCACAGGTAATCTAATCTACAACGGATCATATTACTACCACAAGCACGGAACTACGTCATTAGTTCGGTGTGTGCTCTTTTTTTATAAGCAAAAATCTTTTTTAATTTTAAAGTTAGCCATTCATCTAAATCATTGTATAATATAGGATATGAGGATCTAGTTTTTCTTTATTTTTTGACATCCTGTGAGAGAAGCTGTGCCATAAAAGAAGAAAATCTTTGCTCGAAAAATACTGTTAAAGAATTAATTTGTAGTCTCATTTTCACATCAATTCACGAATTACAGCTATGATCTAGAAACTACTGATCAGATTGAATCTGAGCTTGGTAATATTGCTCACAAAGATTGTGGACGTCTTCCCGATCATACTTTCGAGGTTTGCCACTTTGGTCCTATTCTTTTCCAACAAGATGCCGTATACATAGTTTCTCTGCCCCAACTTCTTTTTGCAGGATTGTAATGAGACGGAAAGGCACCCATGGCTGTACAATCGCCCACATAACTATGTGGACTTTGCAGTAGACGAAAATGGGTTATGGGTTGTTTATATGCGGCCGGAAAGTGACTTTCTTTATGTCAGCAAAATTGAGCCGGTGGGTTGAAACTATTTTGTACAAAACCCTTCATAATCAATGGAATTAGGGAACGTTGGCTTTGAAGTGAAATTAATGGAATTTTTTGCTTTCAAATGAGTGAAAAGGGGTTGATTTATTTATCAGTTACAAATTCGCGCAAAATTATTTCATTCTGATGTGAATCCTGGCCTAAGTAAGTTCGAATGCATACATTTTCAACCAGTGCAAGCGGGAATGTATAGATTTTCTATGTGGAAGGATTAATGAAAAGAGATTAGCAAAGTGATTGCCAAAAAATTGAAGGAATTAAGCTTCGAAATGATTGCTAAAAGCTCTTGCGAACTGTTTCATAGTTGTATATAGTATGTGCGGCCAGATTCGTTGAGTTCCTCATATCAGAGCATTATGATCTTCGAAACTCTAGTTTTCCTCAAAAAAAAATTAGTAAAAGTCCTCTGGCTATTATAGGTAACAAATTAGCTTCTGGTGTAAGCTTGTGTGCATTATATATCTTTTGACAACTTTACGAAACCTTTTGATGATCTGCTCGATTGCACTAAAATTGGCAAAACGTAATCAAGTAAATCTTTTACCAATTTATTGGAGGCGGTGAAAAGTTGGAGACATAACAATTTGAGCAGGTAGAATCTGTAAAAGCCCCAATAGTGACCACCATTTCACACATTTCTTACCAAACAGCCTATTTACTCATAGAATTAGGCTTTTTCTCGGCTTGCACGGCTCTTTTGTCAGGTCATAA